CTCTTGAATCCGCGGGGGGGCGCTGCGGACGATCTTCCGGACGAGCAGCGATTTTAGGCGCGCCTCATCGTTGATTTGCGCATGGGGCGGGTCAACGAACATATCCCTGAGATCGGGGTCCGGTACGGCACCTTGGAGGACGCGATGCAACGCCTCACGTCCTCGTCGTGGATGTTCGTATTGGATCTCCATGACTGCTTTTTCAACTGGAAGGTGGCCGAGGTCGACACCCTTCTCCTCGGCTTGTACCGCCCTGGCACGCGGCAGTTCGGAAAGTACAACTTTCTCCCGTTCGGCCTCAAAAGTGCCCCTGGCATCAACGATGCCTCCGTCAAAAGAGGTCTTGCGACTACTCAAACAGCACAGGGGAGTCGACCTCTTAGACTTCGTCGACGACTTTTTCGGCGCAGCCACGTCGAGGTCCGAGGCGTGGCGCGACCTGCGCACCGCCCTTGATTTCCTGTTATCTTGCGGCATACCCGTCAGCACAAAGCCTTCGGGCGTGAAAGTGCCAGCGACCCGCCAGACGTGGATCGGCTGGACTTTCGACGCGGTTAATGCCGTAGTCACAGTTACGCAAGAGAAATGCGACAAACTCGCGCGCGTCTGCCAAGAGGTGCTCGCGGCAGACACGGGCCGTTCCCTGCGTAGTCGCCAACTCGCCTCGGCCGCCGGGATCGCCAGCCATCTTGCGGAGTTATTGCCGCAAGCCCGGCGCAGGCTACATCCGATCTGGACCGACCTGAATTCCGCCGGGGTGTACGCTCCGTGGCAGAATTCCTCCCGCGCGGACCCGCCAGTGCGCCTGTCCGACAACGCGCGGCAGGCTCTGGCGTGGTTGACGCGCATTTTCGCCATGCCTCCGTGCAGGCACCTTTTCTGCGAGGGGGGCGCTTTGTCGTCATGGGGACACAAATCCCACGAGTTTGCGAACTGGCGCGCGCTCGCAGCAGACGGCAAGGTGCACGTGATCGAAACAGACGCTTCACGCGACCACGGGTGGAGCTACCACCTGTGCAACTTGGGAGTGGTAGTGTCCGGCACGTGGCCTGGCGATTTTGCAACGCAGGAGCAATTCTCAGCGGCCGACGCCATCAACTACAAAGAACTGTGGGTGGCAGCCGAATGTTTGCGTCGGGAACGGGCCCGTTTCCGTGGCTGGAGAATCTTCTTCAGAATGAACAACACTTGTGCCATTCATTACGTGAACATTAGATACGGCCGCCTTCCACACTTAGAACACTTAACTCAGTGCTTCGAAGACGCCGAACGCGCATGGGGGCGCTGGGCACTCGCTTCACACCTCCCGGGCCGCTCCAACGCAGTGGCTGACAGGGGCTCTCGGGACTCGGGTTTTGCAGCCGCCTGGGCCGAATACCCTTTCAAAGATGCTGTCTTGCGTAAGGATCTGTATAAGGAGGTGCAGAGTAGATGCAACGTCACCTGCACGCTGGACCTCTTTGCCGACAGGCGCGGGCTGTTCGCTCTAGCCGCAGAGTGGCGATGCCCGGAACTGACGGCTTTCGAACGCAACCTCGAGGGTCACGTCGTCTGGGCTCACCCACCACGGGCCCTAGCCCAGGCGTGCCTGGATTTTTTCAAGTCTGCCCGAAAAGCTCGCCCGCCCCTTAAGATTTTATTGCTTCTGCCAGAGGACGCAGGAGCTCCGTGGTTCCGCGCGGGCGCGCTGTCTTCCTGGCACCGGGCCCGCTCCTGGCCCGCTCGGACATCTTCCGGCGGCTCTCTCCAGAGGGTCATGTGCGGCGCGGGCCCCGCGCGGACTTTCGCTATTCGGTTCTGGCCAGCTGGGAACCAGCCAGGAGAAACCGATGATTGCGCTGACATCGCAGTCGCTGAGCGCAGGTTCAAAAAAAAAAAAAAAAGAATCACACGCGCACGCGCAAACACACGCGAGCGCGCGCCAACCTCCCACCCGGCACGCTGGCTCGCCACTCCCCTGCCTTCCCTCTCGCGCCCCCTCCCCGTCTTGCCACACCCTCGCATTGGTTTCTGGCCCTAACTCGGCGGGGGCCTCTTCGGACGATGACAGTGGGCGGGGAAGCAGGGGACTGGAGAAGCACGGAGGAGGGGGGACAGGGGGAAGGGAGGACAGGCATAGCGGATCTGGGAGGACGCCGCGTCCCACGCCATTCGGCCCGAGCCCCAAGATCAACCGCGCCGGCCAGCTCGCCCACGCACACCTCGGACCCCCACCTTTTCCAAGGCATGGCTTCCGATGAACAGGTCAAGACATTGATTGCGGAAGCAATCAAGGCTGAGACGCAGCCGGGGGGCGCAATCTACAATTCCGTCGTGGGAAGGATTCCCTGAGGGTCGGGGGAGCTTAGATCTAAGCTCTCAGTGTTTCAACCATAAACAAACTCTCATGTGATGTTTGGGGGCTTGTTTGAAACTTCGATAACAATGTAACTTCTACTTCAGAAACAAGCTCCCTCGTGATTTTTGGGAGCTTCTTTTAATCTCTCTGTCTCTCTTTCCCCCTGTCCTCTGGGCCCTCCTCGGCTGTTGACGGCCACCTGGCGCAGCGCACTCTCTCTCTCTCTCTCTCTCTCTCTCTCTCTCTCTCTCTCTCTTGAGTCGGCGCGCCGACTCGTCGTCCTCCCCCTTCAAAACCATTTGAAAAAGCCAGCGGCCTTGCTCACATTTAGTTTGGCCAGGTGCTCCAGTCTTGAGCTAGCTCCGAATCAAGCGCAAATCACCAAAACAACGCCCTCCTCCTCCTCCGTGTCCTGCCTGTTTTGGCTCGAAGCACTTTGGCACTCGACAGCGTCGTTGAGGCGACGCTTCCTCTCGATCTACCGATATGCCACGTAAAAAAGCGCGCTGATTTCGATGGGTCGAAGGAGGACATCGCAGGTGTCTTGAAGAAGCACGCCACGAAGGTGGACTTTTTCGAATACGCAGAGCAGCCAGCAAGGAGCCACACGAAGAGCAAACTGAACGTCGCGAAGATCCTAGCAGTCAAGGAGATGTTTCAAGATTTGGTTGCTCTTCAGCACAACGTGGCTTTTCAAGCAACGAAGATCGATGGTGCTGTCGAGATTGTTTGGGCTGCGCGCAAGGAGAAGTGGCCCCGCAAACCCAAGCCGGAGTTCCAAGAAGAGCGGTGCAAAAGCATCAGCAGCAGGCTGCGCGTGGCCTGCAGGCTTATCAGCAGCGCGATGGCTCGTAGCGCCAATGGCAAACCGCCGAGGTGGTTGAAGGAGCTCCAGCACAAGGGTGCCGAGGATGGCGAGGAGGGCGACGGCGAACGCGAAGAGCAGGATGAGGAAGAGGAGGCGGAGGAGGAGGAAGAGCAGCAGGACGACCACGAGGACAAGCACCAGGAGGACGACCCCGGCGAGGATGCCCACGTGGACGGCGATGCGCAGCCGCCACCAGAGGCGAAGCCCGAGGAGAAGCCGCCTTCGGGAAGCTCGGCGCCAGCTGGCGCAGAGGAGCGGGCGCATGGCTACTCGCAAGAGCTGCACAAGGCCTACCGCACCATGCCGACGGCCAAGAAGCAGAAGAAGGAGTGCGCCGACGTCTACATCGCAGAGGGCCACGACAAGGACACAGATTTCGTCAGGGCCAAATGGGGCGACGACGCCGAGGCGATCCCCATCGCGGATATCACGGTTGCGGAGTTCAAGCAGCGCCACGACGTCCAGTGGGATACGAAGCAAGGGGCTCTCCGCAAGATGGAGATCGGAGGCGTGTGTTTCAAGCTTTTGGGGCAGGGGGGGAACAATAACGACGCGGTGGGCCTCTTCATGGATTTGGCCGAGGGGAAAAAGGCGCAAGTGCGCCAGATCTTGGCGAAGTGGTTCCCAGGGGATCGTTTCGAGAAGCGCTCGGTCATGATGCGCATCGGCCTGAGCTTGTGTGGCAAGATGGAGAGCAAGACCATTGCGATCGAAGTTGAAGACGTCAAGAAGGTTAGGGAGGTCCTGAAAGTGGAGGGAGACAACCTCATCACCGCTGCGCTGGGGGAGGGCGCAAACTTGCCATTCCTCGGAAAGAGAGCAGGTCCCAAGAGGGCCGCCAGCGACGCAGGGGCGTCGGGGGGCGCTCCGCCACCCATGAAGGCAGCAAAGACGGCGAAGATATAGAAAGCAGCTTCGGGCGTTGCGGAGGGCGGACCACCGAGCATGGGCGCAGGGGCACCCGAGCCCAACGCCGACACCACCGAGAAGGGGAAGGAGGGCGCGCAGAGCGTGAGCAGCGACGATGATTGCCCCCCGGAACCTTATTTTTTGAGCGCGCCTTTTTGGCGCAGGAGTCGGCGCGCCGACTCCCAGGACGCCGACTCGAGCGTGATCGTTCTTGATATATCCTGTCGGCGCGCCGACAGCAGCATGCCTGGTTGGACCAGCGACATTAGGCGAAGGAAACAGCACCCTGAAAAACTGATGTCCGTCCTCCCCTACCTTTGCACTCGCATTCGCCACCATTCCCCTCATCCGTCACTTATTCAGCTTGGCTGCTTTGCCTCTTGATGCTCGGGTCGGCACGCCGACTCGAGTATACATTCTTCGGTCAGCGACCTTCGCGAAACAATGCGAAACTTCCAAAACTCATGCCAATGCTCCTGAGGCCGTTCCTGGTCCTCCTCCTCCTCCTCACCTCCGTCTCCTCCAACTGCTCCTCCTCCTCCTCCTCCTCCTATCCATACTGGCTGTTTCGACTGGGGTTGATTGGGCCGCCCGGAGGCTTTCGCGAAACAAATCAAAACCATCAAAAACGCACGCCCGTCTCCCCGTGGCTATTGTGCCACATCCTGGCTGTTTTGCTTAAGATTGATTGTGCCCCCCCAAGGCCCAAGAGTAAGTTGAACAGGTGCAAGCATTTGTGTAAAAAGGTTTAGCTTGAAGGTTTTGCTGAGCTATCAACACGCGTTTCCGTTCTTGCCGATAGGGGGCCGAAGCCAGACGAGTTAATCAAACGTAGCTCTCAGGCTCAATCGCAAGCAGTGTTAGCGCAATCCTTGAACTCAAACGATGGCGGGGCCAGTGGCTGCGTTCGAAGAGCTCGCAACTAAGGTCGGCAAGCCAGCAACGTGGGCAGTGGGCGACGCATCCATGGCAGTCAGCGATGGCTGGAAAGGTATTTTCTATGCGTTCCAAGCAACTGCTTCAGAGAACAGCGCCGCCAACGAGGATCTCACGCCCGAGATGACGATGCCGAGGACCGTTTTGGACTCAGCAGGCAAGGTTAGTGTTCGCACGGGCGCGGGGAGGAAGCTCACGGCCGAGATCAACGAGGGCATCAAGGAGAAAGATGAGCACAGCAAGTGCCAAGGCCATTAAGCGATGAGGAAGTTCAGGGAGAGGTGCGCCAAGAGAAGGTTCGCAGAGCTCACCGAGAAGAAGTATCAGGAGGAGTCCACCTTCGACCTGCAGTCGGTCGAAGCCGAGTACTGCGCTTCCCCGCGCCTCGTCTCGCGCGAAGGTGGGGGGACCAGCGACCCAATCGCTTGCGACAACGGCTTGACGTTCTCGAAGAATGCAATCGCGAAGTGGCGGAAAGGAGAGGCGTTCCACGGGCACCCGTGGGTAAAGTATTGCAACATGCGCAACACGGCGGCCATCCTGCACTACAGGGAGAAGGTGTCCCTCGGCATCAACAAGGTGCACGGGCTGCGCAAGGAGTGGTCAGAGGGTGCCTCAGGGTCCACTGAAGGAGGCCGCCCTGCCGACCCGCCCGCAAAGAGGCCGAATAACTCAGAGGGCGGCGCCGAGCCCAAGGTCGTCGAGCCTGCGCCGAAGCCCTCAGGTGACAAGGAGAAGAAAGGCAAGGAAGACAAGACGGAGGAGTCGGAGAAGAAGCGCCTATCCAGCGCGATCTCGAAGCTCAAGGTGCTCAAGTCCAGATACGCTGACGCGAACGCCTTTGCGGCCGACCTCTTCGACCTGGTCTCCAAGGACCCAGTTTGGGCTTGGGCGAACAACGAGATCCTCCTGCAGGGCCTGCGCAAGGCGCGCGAGGATCTGGACGAAAGGAAGAACGCCAGCGACTTCTGCAAGACGTGGGTCGCAGACGCTGAGTTCACCAAGAACGCGTCGAAGAGGTTCGAGGCAGCGAACATCATCACGCCGCCGCCGACTCGATGAAGACCCCCATCGATGATCTCCTCGAGCAGGCGAACCAGCTCAAGCGCATGCACAAAGCTCGCAATGAGAAGTAGCTGGGTTCGGGATCGGCGCGCCGACCCCTCCGTTTTGCACGCAGCAGCACGATTTCGCGCGCGCTGCGAGCAGTGTGTGTTTGTGCAGAGCGAGTCGGCGCGCCGACTCGACCTGCGTTCTGGGGCCAGCAATCCACAGGCGTCCTTCTCATCATCCTTCTCATCCTCCTGCTTTGCTTTTCAGTCTGATCTTTAATCGTTTGATGTCTGCGGCCGATCTTCAATCGTTTGATTCAATGTTTGATGTTCAGTCTTCTCGGTGCTTCGACAACCCCCGCACCCCCCGCCCCCCCCCCCCCCCTTCCCCCCCCCCCCCCCCCCCCCCACACCCACACACACACACACACACACACACACACACACACACACACACACACACACACACACACACACACACACACACACACACACACACACACACACACACACACACACACACACACACACACACACACACACACACACACACACACACACACACACACACACACACACACACACACACACACACACACACACACCCAAGGATCCCCATAAGGGCTTCTGTCATGGACTTTTTCCGCATCTTGTGCCCCGCACGAAAGAACAAATCATTGCTCGCACCCCATCAGTAAGGAAAAGGCTGCCACCAGAGCTTGCAGAAATGGAAAATCAGCCCCCAGACGAAATCACAGAAGCCCGCCGAAAGTTCACAAAAGTTCACAGAAAGTTCACGTGTGAACTTTGGCTGTGATGTTTGACTGTTGTTGTGTATTTATATGTAAAACCAAAGTTCACAGAAACTCACCGACCAAAAAATCACCAAAGTTCACCAGGTGATCCGTTGCTGATTTTCCACAATAATTTTCATGTTCATTGATTGGTTTTGGAGCCGCGCCGATCTGCCACTAGAAAACGACCGAAGAGGCTGCCGTTGAGCCCATCCCTCGGCTCCAGTCCCCCCCTTGCGCGCGCGCAGCCTCCCAGGCTCAAGTTTTGGAAAGGGTCGGCGCGCCGACCCCAGCGCTGCCCCTCATGTCTGCGCGCAACCGAGCAGTGACAGACGCGAAATGTGCTGCGCGGCATGCGGAGTGGAACGACCTCCTGCGAAGAACCCAAGGGCAAATTGGAGGGATCTGCCAGCCCCCCCCCCCCCCCCCCCCCCCTCTCCTCCAGGAGCCGCGAAGAAGCCCGAGAAGCGGAAGAGACAGCGCGATAAGCAAGCACTGACGCATCAGGCGCAGAGGACAGGCGCTTCGAGCAGTGGCGCTGCGAGCTCTTGTGCGACAACAGCGCCGAGGGACCTCTCGAGCAGAGCCCTGTCATTCCTCGATATGTTTCGAGCCGCGTTGCATGTGCAGAGCAGACGGAAAAAACTAATAACTTGAAGCAGTGTTATTCTTACTGTTATTGTGTTGCGCCCTCCCAGGACCCCGTCGCCGCCTCGATGACCGAGAAGAACATCTGCGAGGCTGTCGAGGCCGATTCCTCCTTCGAGCCTACAGGGGCACCAGTGGTGTCCTCACCCACCGAACCCCCCTTCAGAGGAGTTTCGGTCGCCTGCCTCCTTGGAGGACGACTCGCCAGTGGAGGTCGAGTGCGCCGAGTCGGAGACGCCCAAGGATACGCCCAAGGAGACGCCCAGGGAGACGCCCGAGGAAGCCGAGGCAACCTTCCAGGAAGACGAAGCGAAGCAACATGTTGCGGATCAGACTACATCAATCTACATCATGTCGATGTGCAGTAGGTGCTGCTATGTGGAAGTGGGCACTGGCCGAAACGGCCAAGCAACCCCAACGCTGGTCCTGAACGCGAAGCAAGGGTTCTTCGACCCCCAGAGCCGAGATCAGAAGCACGATGGCAGTGCCTTTTTCCATCCAGGAGACATTCGCCAAGAAGACTGACAAAGTCCGACGTCTTGTGCGGCAGGCGAAGGTCTTTGTGAATGAGCACATTGGGAAGACCGACGAAATCGCCGTGCATGTGTGGTGCAACGCAGGCAAGCACAGGGGCGTTGCGTGCACGGAGCTCTTCTGCCAGCTGTTTAACTCCTTGGAGCTCTTCAAGGACTGCGGGCACTACCACTCCAGCTTGCGCAGCCATGGCCACGGCCACAAGTGGTGCCAGGAGTGCAACCGCGGCGCTACGCCAAACAGGATGGCTGCCAAATCTGCCATCCTCGAGCATCTGCTCCCACTTTGGCGAGATTGCGAGGTGTGAGTTCGGATTGGGATCGGTGAGCCGACCCTTTGGCAGTGATCGGGATCGGTGGGCCGATCCTTCAGCGGTGCGCAACACTTTGTAGCGATGCGCAAAAGCGAAGCTCTGGGCAAGGGACCGGCGAGCCGAACCTTTGGCGATGCGAAAAAGGAACCTCCCCCCTCCTCCTCCTCTTCCTCTTCCTCCTCCTCCTCCTCCTCCCTTTCCTGCCTCGTGGGGGGCCTCCTGGGGTGGGAATGTGGTGGTTTTCCTTATGATTTCGCCACGTTCTAGACCCCCCCCCTCCTGTTTTCCCAAACTGGGGGGGGGGGGGGGTCTAACGTCCGGGTCCAATGCCGATTTTTTTGGCCCGACGCAGCCGTTTGATCGACCCGCCGAGCTCGAGCCGCAGCCCCCAGGCGTCGGCGAGCCGACGCCCCCGTGCAGCGTCGGCGAGCCGACGCCGCATGCAGCATGCCTGGGAACGCGCTTTGGGGCATGGGGCAACATGCTGCACGATCCTGGCTCCGATGATGGGACGGAGAGCGAAGGGGATATTGACTGCGACAACATCTCACCTGAGTCAGCCGCAGCCGAGCTAGGTAATATGATAATTGACTTGAAAATGCGAAGCATTATCGCTGCGATTGGCGCTTGCATGATCAGTTTCTGGGCTGCGAAAGCAGGGGTTGGCGGGGTCATCCAGCAACCCGCGAAGGCTCCTGGTGCTTCAAGTTGGCGCGAAGTGCTTCAACCGTGTAGTGGGGCCTGATTCAGTAGAAAGTGAAAGCCTGTATTTCTTGGACGTGCCATTTTTCAAGCGTGGCGATGCCACTCGTTCGTCGCAGAGCACTGCGGTGCACCTGCCGCGCGACGCGGCGGACGATGAGATCATCAATTCGCCAGACATCGCAGATCAATTGCGGAAATGTGTTGATGATGGCGAATTGCCACAGGCCTACATCGATCACCCCATCACTCGTGCGACACCCCCTGGCACTCCAGTTTTCCCGTTCGCATTATATGTTGACGGGGTGCAATTCCAAAAGGCTGATCATGTTATAGGCTGCTGGCTCGTGTCTGTGTGCGCGCGATCTCGCCATCTAATCGCTGCGTTGCGCAAGTCAGAGCTCTGCCACTGTGGCTGCAGAGGTTATGATTCGTTGCACGTCATACATGCAGCTCTTTCTTGGAGCTTCGCTGCATTGGCTAGAGGCACGCGGCCCCATGAGCGCCACGACGGTTCAGCATGGCTCGAATCGGATCAGGAGCGGCAAGCTCTCGCTGGGATGGCGCCCGGGTGGGTAGGCATAATTTTGTCCCCGAAGTGCGACCTGATGGAATTTGTTACTACATTCGGCTTCCCATCGTGGAAAACAGTTCACGCGCCTTGCCCTTTGTGTTATTGCACCTAATCAAGTTGGGATCAAATCTCAGGCGTTTCTTTAATGGGGTTGCCTTGGTGCTTAAAAACATGGGCCGGCTACAAAAATGGTTGTGGTAAGTGCGAAACCTGGTACATGTGAATAGCGGAGATCTTTATAGGACCATCAGAGCGTCTCTCGTATATGATAAGAGAAGAGATGGGAGTCGGGGGAGGTGTTTAGCGGTTGACCTGCCAATCGCGGGGCTGCTCAAAGGGGACCGCTTGGAACCCCATGTGCACATGTTGGACGCGAGCGAGTTCGATGCCAAAGGGCGCTGCCGCCCGTCCTTGCCATTCTGGGCGCTCTTCAAGCGCAGATCCGCAGAAACGCTCGCGCGGAGACGCAATCCTATCTTTTCAGATGTGACGCGGTTCGCGCCTTCAATGGTGATTGTCATGGACTGGCTGCATTTATGCAGCCCCGGTATTTTCAAGGTCTTCGTTTCTATCCTGTTGCATAAACTGTTTGAGTGCAATGCTCTGGGCGTAGCCCCAGGGCCCCGCGATGTATTCATCGCGAATTGCGTCGCCAAGCTTCGCGAGCTTCTGTTTGACTGGTACGACGCAGAAAAGCAAGCAGGCCGCGATCACACCCGAGCACAGAACCTGACTGTCGAGATGGTGAGGCACTCTGGTGACCATGCGTCAGGCACGTGGGGTTCGGAGACGAATGGGTTCGTTCTGTTTTCGCGCGACCTGCTGGGTCGTTACCGACGTCGCGTCCATCCAGACGTACTCGTGCACCTCAAGCGGGGGATCTCGGCGCTCGTCACCATCTACAACATGTTCAAAGATTATGATGCTGGCGCCAGGGCAAGTGGGACAAATATTATATATTGCCGCGTTTCCTGGTCCACCTCCTCATCCTCCTCCTCCTCCCCCTCCCTCTCTCCTCCCCTGCGCTCCAAAACCGCCCAACCATGTTTAGTTTTATTTCCGCAGCGCCCTGGAAAAAAAAGGTTCTGCACCTGTCGACGTGGCGCAGGGCTTCGCAGATGCTTGGAAACAACACCTACACGCAATGCGGGCGCTAAGGGTTGGTTTCAGGGCCAATCGCCATGGAATGGCTCATGTTGTCTCCAAGCTCGCTCAGTATGGGTCGCCTCACGTTTGGGGAAATTGGACAGACGAGAAAAACAATCAACACTTGGCGCGGTTAGCCCTTCGGGCTCATAGATCAGTGCGGGCGCAGCGGATGCTGGTTGACCACAAGTATGGCTTCGGCGCCAAGAAGGCAAAGAAGGTGTAAATGGGTCGGCGCGCCGGCCCATAGTTTCGTGTCGGCTCGCCGACGCATGTGCCCGATCAGGAAAAAGT